GCCAAGTTTAACCTCTTGTTTTCAAGATTAAAATATTATTGCATTATTTTTTCTGATGGGAAAATATTTGTTTACTGTAAAAAAAAATAAAATAAGGAATACATTAGAAGTGAAAATAAAAATGTGAAAATCACCTCAGAATTAATTATTTGTGATATTTTGGCATACACCCTTCCAGGGTTTTTTTTTTTTTTTTTAAAAAAAAGATAAATAGATAGGTAGGTAGGTAGATACATGATCGATCGATCGATCGATAGGTAAAATTGGGTCTACCTTATAAATAGTTTTTTTACTTAAGAAGAGAATACCTTTTTATGATCATTAGTAGGTATTTACATCACTACACATAGTTAATTGTATGGCTGTACCATAATTTATTTAACCAAACATCTATTTTTAAATAAGTACATCAATTGATTTCTGTGTGTTCACTATAATAAACACTACAGCCATGAACAACCGTATGCATGCAATGTTTGCACCTGACTATTTTCATAGTGTAAATCCTCAGAAGTGAAATTGCTAAGTTAAAGTTATGCTTATTAAAAAAAAAAAGACTTTTGGTGCATGTTGCCAAATTCATCTTAAAGGGTTTGTGCCAATTTAGACACCATCTATGACAATGCCCATAGCTCTACACCCTTACTGTGAATTATCTATTTTTAAAATGTAAAATTGTTGCTGGGGTCTTCTGCCCAACCTGGGCAGCCCCTATGAGGTTCTTGCCTTCTACTGACCAAGAATGATCAGAGGAAGCTCAAGTTTTCTGCACAAACAAAGCTTTATTAAGCAAAAGTAGCTCGTGAGCGAAGACAAAGGGGGACAGAGCAACACTAGCCTTTGTCTCTAGGAATAAAGGGTTTACAAGGCTTATAAAAGTTTCTAGGTGGGAAATGGTTTCACCCTTATTCATGAAAGGGGTGTGGGTTTCTGGGAAAAGGCTGTGTTAGGTGCGCGCGCAAGAGGTAATTCAAGATGGAACTCATCGCTAAAGCTGTTGGGTTAGTTGGCGTCACTTATTCTGGGATGTTGCACATGTGCAGTTCTCCCAGACGCTGGTTTAAGTCTCGTTGGGAACTCATGTCTCTAGAAAAAGGTCACCGGTCGGTGGTCCCCTGTGCAAAGCACATGCCCAAGATACCGGATCAAACTGGTCTGTCTGAAAAACAGCCATTTGCTCCTTCCAGTGAAAGGGGTGTGGGTTTCAAAGCTTTAGTAGTCCCTGAAGCTTTAACCCTCCCCAGTCTGGCCAATCCCTCCTGTCTCAAAATCAAAACACACTAAATGGCCTTGGGTACTACCCAATAACCCATTTTCATTGTTTTTCCTCCTTTGCTCTTGTAGGTTTTGGAAGGGGAAGACTTGGCCTGGCTCAGACGGCAGGTGTCCTGAGGAGTCTGGAACAGGAGGAGCCCTTTGACCTTTCCCAGAAGCCTCGGGTGAAGAGGCCAGTGTTTCAGTCTGATGGGGAGAGCGCCAGGGAAAGCTCCTGCCATGAGGAGGAGGAAGAGGAGAACTGCTACGAGGTGGAGCTGTACAGCCCAGGCCTCACCCCCCAGAACAAGCAGCTCTGCTCGCCCCAGGATCTATCCAGAAAACCTGAGCAGGCCACGAGGGCTCTCAGTGAACCCTGCCAGGAGAAGGAGGAAGTGCAGAAAGAAGAGCTGGAGGAGAAGAGCAAAGACAATCTTGGTGCAGAGGGTGGTCAGGAGAGAGAGTCTGCTCTCCCAGATGAGCGCCTAAGCCTCAGGGCTTTTCAGAGCACCCGGCGGGGCCCTTCTTTTTCTGATTACTTATACTTCAGGCACAGAGATGAAAGCTTAAAAGAATTACTGGAGAGGAAAATGGAAAAACAAGCAATGCTTTTAGGTATCTAAGTGGATAGTTTTAAAATTACATTTGGAAAATGAGAACTAGGCGGTTCAAATATAGCTTTCTGCATGAACTGTAATTTGCTGGGGACGGGCAGATGGTGCAAATCTTGACAAATGGCTCAGACTGAGTGAGTAGGGACAGTCCAAGGTAATGCAAATGCTTCTCAGGTCATTCACTGGACCCTTAATACTTGTAACACACGAGAAGGATCTTCTTCGGTGTTATTTTATGCATCTATTATCACTCCAGTATAATAAACTGTACATATTTACCTAGATATCTAGTTGTAAGCTGACTCTGAGGTGCTTTTAGAAATTCTGTTTTCCTTTGACTAACATGCAATACATGGCAGATTTCTTACTAGTTGCAAAAATACGGTGCTTCACGTGTTACCTTATTAAAAACTATTTAGTGACAGTTGTCGAATTCATGAAAGCTATCATATTTTTTCAGATAGATTAAAACATTAGTAGTTGTGTATATAAAAAGAACTTTTCTTAAAAAATCAAAAGTACCAGAAATGACACAGAAGGGTGAGTTATCAGAGAAGGATGGTCTCAAGTTGTTCCTATAGATACGAGATAAAATTTCAGGAAAATATGAATAATTTTGACTAAGGAAAAACCAGCAATATTTAGATTCTTGCCTGTGTCTTGTTTCACTTCAACTACCTTCATCAGGTGGGGCATTTGATACATACTTTCAGATGACCCAGGAGTGCTCAGGGGTTCTGGTTCCTCAGACTTGACCCCTTTCTGGCAGCCCCAGCAGAGGCCCCTCCTGGAGACCGTTGCTGCCTTGCACCAAGGCCTTATACCCTGTAAAATGACTTCAGGAAGAAGTGCCCCCAGGTGAATAGTAGATTTCACCTCAGTGCTGTTGCTGGGAGGAAGTTCTCCCTGAAATCTAAACTCTGACTTATTTTGGATTTTACAATAATCACCGGCTTATCACTAATAAGTGAGACACTGGGCTGTGTTCTCAATCCTGGCTGCAATTTAGAATAACCTGGGGAGCCTTTTGAAAGAAAGGCCTGGTGATCTATTTCCGAATAATCAACCACTGAAAACCCCAAGGGAGCACAGTTCTACTCTGGCACACATGGCATTGCCAGAAGTCAGAATTGACTAGACAGCAACTGGGTGGTGGTGGTTTTTTTTTTTTTTTTTTTTTTTTTTTTTGGAGTGGGGAGGAGCTTTTAATAAGCGCCAGTGCCCAGGCCTCACAGCCAGGGGTTCTGATTGAATTAATCCAGCATCAATATTTTCCAAATCATCCCACGGGATTCTTACATGCAGCCAGGGTTCAGAAAGATTGATTGGGCTAAAATACCACTTACCCATTCCTATGGACCCCAGGACCCTTTCCCAGGGACTCCATAAATATTCCTGCTCCTGGCTTCAGACTCATTAAGGCAGAGAACAGGAGCCCGCATAATCACACTGCTAGCCTAGTTCTGTAAGTAGCTCTGTAGAACCCCTAGACACACACAGAGTTCACACACACACATACTTTGTATAGAAACACTTTTTGTACTAGAAGATGATGCCTATGTTTATGGTCATTTAATATGTTTGAAAATGCAAAGTAGACCTGTAGTGACTATTTTTTCCCAAATGCTTGAACCACGATTCCAGTGAATGAAGATGACTTTACTAGTTGTGTTGGGCGTAGCAGGAGAGCCTTCCTTAGGCACTGTGTTGAGTAAGCAGAACTGACGTGGCACTGTGCACATATGACCAACCATAAGCAGTGACCCTTCTGGTACTATCTGTGTTTATGTAAAAACTGCCTCTTGGCTGGTAGTTTCAACTCTTATTTGTAGTGCTCGGGACTGTTTGCTATTTTGCTCCCTCTCCTTCCAGAGTTCCCAGCACATTCTTTTCGAAGACCTGTCCATGTTTGACTGCTGGATGCCAGCTTTTTCTGTGGGCTGAGGTGTTTCCCCATCCTCTAGTCCTCATCATCCACCCATGTGCTTTGTCACTCCCTGATGCATTTCTCTTGCCTAAAGCTCCTGCCTTTCAGCATCACCACCATCATGAGTGCCACCACATAGAGCTAAAGCTGCTTGAGTTTCCTACTGCCACCCATGTCCTGAGATCAGACCATGTAAAGGGGGCGGAGAAAAGAATATTGAGGGTCTCTGCTATTACAAGTGCAGCTCTGGATTGAGAACCTGTTCCAAGTCCTCTTACTCACACAGCTCATCAATACCTCTGATGAAACCTCCTAGACTCTGGCAGAATGGTCTGTGAGGCTGTCAGCTCTTTGAGTTCTGTCATAAATTTATTCATTCAGCAGCCATGTGTTGAGGACCTACTAGGTACCATGCCTGACCACAGTGCTGCAGACTTCCAGTTTGTTCTGGGTATGCCTAGCTGGAATCGAAAAAACTAAAAACCAAACCTACTGCCGTCGAGTCGAGTCTGACTCATAGACACCCTATAGGACAGAGTAGAACTGCACCATAGGGTTTCCAGGGCTGTAATCTTTATGGAAGCAGACAGCCACATCTTTCTCCTGCCTTGCTGGAATAGGAATCAAACAAGAGTAGCAGGCTCAAGTCCTTTCCAACCAAAACAAATCATGTGGGAATGTTTGAGGAACCAGTTAATGTTGAGATGGAGAGAGTATAGACTATAATAGTGGTTTTCAAGCTGTGTTTTAAGGAGCCAGAGGTCCCCGTCAGGCCCCTCCAGAGCTGCTGGGGGAGAAGGAGAAACTCTCAGCCCTCAAGACTACTCCACTCAGAGCAGCTCAGATTTCATCTGTTTTATGTAAGAGTTCCAAGTAAAATTTAATTTGGAGGGAGGAATAAAGTCTAGGAAAAGTAATAAAAATGTGTTACAGTGTATTCCAAGGTCTGTTTTTGGTTCTTGACTCTGGGTATGAGAGACTTAATTAGATCTAACCTGATGGTTAATATAGCACTGACCTGCTGAGGACCAAGACTACAACCTTGGTTTGTATGTAGTTGTATGTAGTATGTAGTTGGATGACCAAAATCCTGGTTTTCCTGAGACAAACCTAATTACTAATAGTGTCACCTTAACTCTCGAAAGTATCCCAGTTTGGATGACAAATTATATGGGTGCCCTCTGCATGAATGTACAGCTAGGGATGAGTCGGCCAAACTTGCCTGATGGGCGGATTAACCCATACAAACCTGAAGGAGAGCTCATCAGGGCCATCCTCAGAGAATTAAGGGATGAAACCATCAAAGGTTACCAGCACCTCAAGGGCCAGGACAGCATGACATACATCACATTTTGACACTTTGAAAATAGGTCACTACCAAATGCTTTCCAGGCTTTTGACCACAGTCACTTTGAACCAGCCCATTGACCAGCCAAGTGGCACATTTTTCTTTTAACCTTTTTATTCAGGTCTATGATTACCCCTCTTGCTGCCTTTCCATTCCTCTTTTATTCTCTCTTTTAAAAATATGACTCCTCACTGGCCATGAGACTGAGGCTGACCTTTCATTAACCCTCAAGGGTAACTGGTATATCTGTATATGAGTAGATGCGTGAGAAAACTCAATGTGCATACTGTATTTATTAAGCCCTAAAGGCATTTAATAAAATATCAACATCGTGTTTTGAATTATGATTTTTTTCTGCTTTATTGGAACAAAATGCAACAAAGCTAACATTTAAAATCCTTCACATATTTGGACAACATTACACCAAATGTTGATTTTGTAGAGAATTTTGGCTTAAAAACTAAAACTTCCAGTGTGTATCAACCCAAGTTGTGAATATTGCTTTCTGCTTCAGTGAAAAAGTGGTTTACCTGAAAATAGCATGTAGCCTATTTTTTGTTAATTTAAGCAAATAAAGACTTGTTGAAAAAGCCAACTTAGCGACTTGCAAATACCTGAGACATTGCAAGGGCACCGCCGTTGTCAACATCTCACTCCTGCCCTCATCCCCTCTGCCAGGATGATCCTGTTGGTTGAGTCCTCAGCCCCAGAGAGACAGGGGTGCTGGAGTCTTCCTCTCTCTCAAGGCTTCAGACAGAATTAATGACCCTCAGCCCATCTTAAGGCAGGTGACATCTTCCTCATCTTCTGCCTTTTACCTATTCAGAAAAATTAACTTTGGAAGGGTGCAAGAAGGAAGTGGGTGGCTGGAGGAAGCATTGCCTCATTATGCCTCGAATTCCTTGTAGAATCAAGTTCAACCATACAAAGGTTTGCCAAAATGTAGTATATTCTAGTGAGTAAGAGCACAGATTCTGGTGCCAAATTGCATGAGCTCAAAGCCCAGCTCTCTCACTTCCAAGCCTTGGGACCTTAGACCAGCTAGTGAACCTCTCTGTGTCTCAGTTTCCTCATCTGTAAAATGGAGCTAGGGACAGTACTGACCTCATCAGATTGTTGTGTGAGTTGAGTTAATATATGCAATACACTTAGAATGTCCCTGGTTCATAGTTTATGCTTTGTAAGAATTAGCCATTATTATTGCCAACAAAGTGGCCAGAAAATTAAACACTTAGCTCTCCTTCCTCAACAAAGAACTCAAGAAGTTGTTTATAGGAAAGTGTCAGTTTCTGAGGGAGCTTTCCTTTAAAACAACAGTGAAACTGGAGCATTTATTGAGCACTGTTGTGTGCCAAGCACTGTGCCTAGTGATTTACACACTTTATCTCATTTAAGCTTCACACATCCATGAAAAGCAAACATTGCTACCCCCATTTTACTGATGAGGAAATGGTGGCTCTGGGGAGTGAAATAACTTGTCCCAAATTACCTAGTTAGTGAGCTCCTCCTTTGCCTCCAAAGTATGTATTGTGTAGAAGCTTAGGTTCTCTGGAAGCAGATGCTTAGACAAAGTTTGGATGCAAGATGTTTATTAGAGATCAACACCAGTGCAAAGAAGCTGGAGGAGAGAAGAGACAGAAGCTAAAGTGCACTGCAGGCTGGACAAATCTTCATCCACATGCATGGAATTTCTAGGATAAATGTTGTCTATCAGAGTTGTACCATATTGGGCCAGAAAGTCCAGATCTTTACGTCCCTAGATCTCTCAGTCACCAGATATGGCTTGCCCTGGGAAGGACATGACCCCAGCAAGAAAGAGACTTTCTACAGCTGGGGAAGACTCTAAGGGAGCTGTTGATGAAGGGTGTCTGCTGCCTGCACTCCCTCAGCTGCATGCAACTCCTTCCTAGAAGGGAGATCTGGGCAGCACATCTCTGTCTACCACTGTCCACCCCTTGTAGCACTCCAATCCACTTCTTCACAAATATGGAATCCTGAATTCCAATCCAGGATCCCAATTGGCCTCTCTGCCTGAGGAAAAACATAAAAGAGGAAGATTAATGGGACAAACTTCATCCCCTACTACTGCAGTTGGTCTAGGAGCCACAGCTGATACATGCCACCATTAGATACCACCTCTGCCAGCCTCAGAGTTGGCTTGCCTGGTGGTATGACCCAGATCTTCATCTCCAAGGGGGATGCCTTGTACCATATTGGGTCGAAATGTCCAGATCTATATATCCCCAGATCCCTCAATCACCAGATACGGTGTGCCCTGGGAAGTACATGACCCTAGCAAGAGTGAGACTCTCTGCAGCTGGGGATGGGATGACTTTCTCAGGCTGGGGGTGCTGTACCTATTCACTTACCATCAAAATTGGGAAAGGAAGTACTAAAAGAAGCCCAAGTGAGTCACCTGGTTCTACACATATTCTTTCCTGACTGATAATGTAACAACAGCCCTATCTTCTCCAGATGATCAAGTCGATGACCTCCACCTACATGGTGACTCGTCTCCTTGGCTGCTGGTCTCTGGAAACAAGGAACAAAA